ATGATATTGTTTATGGGATTAGAAGAGAGTGCAAGTGGGATCATGTCTCTGTAGACTTAAAATTAAGGCAGTAGTCTTCCTGCTTTCCAGTCATTTTCTTATAAGAGAAATAACTCTCTTTTCTGACAAAGGCCAGAACCCAGCATTCTGCCTACCCAGGAGAGCTCTCATCTTGGGCTGAAGCATCATGCTCTCTCTTGTGGTTTTCTGCTTGGGTGATATCACAGTTGAGTGATGAACACTTCCAGATCATGTCTGTTGATTGACACTAAGCATTGTAAAGGTTTTGATCTCTATATGGCTTGGACAGAAGATTGCCTTTATCCACTCAACTCAGAGCAGAATCTGTGAGTGTATTCAGAGAAGAACTTTAGGCACTTGTAGTCCCTAAAGTTCCTGCAAAGACTTGCATAGCCAGCACTGGGAAGGACTGACCAGAAATTTTAAATGCTACAGCTTTGTACTCAGGTACCTAAAGTATCAGTTTAGGCATTTCTGTTTTGTCCAAGAAAATAGGAGTTTATTTGTAACCATTTAGGTGCAGATGACAATCTTTCCCATATTCTCCTTATTTTTTTTTTTTTATTTGCCCTTGTCACAAAGCACAAGTACTCCGGTGAAGCCCACAGCTGCACTTCTATTCAAGTAGGATCAAGGTGTTCCTTACTCTGGTCAGCCTTTGGTTCCTACTTGCAGTATTCTGCACCTGCGTTGGAGTAGGCGCATACCCATGCGGTCATCTCTATCGCTTTGCAATTTTACCTTCCATCACATTAACATTTACTGCTCTTTTTACAGCAGTCTCTGCACTAAATACCCTAGAAAGCCTACTAATGCTAACTACTTCCAAATAGTAATTGTAATTTTAATGGCAACCTCAATAAATTGTTTTTATGTAAATTGCAGTTTAATATGAATCTTATAGAACAAGTCACTCCTGCCACCTATTAGGTGCATGATTAAGAAGCTCCTGAGATCCTCTGAAAATCCCTTCTAGTGAACCATGGGGTTAACGGGAGTTGTAGAAAGAGCCAGAAGGCTTAGTAGGTGCAGAAATGAAATGGAAATCCAAGAAAGATGAAAGTGAAGAGACTATGAAAGAGTGAAGCACAGGGAAGATCATGCAGGGCAGAGGGAGCCCTGTTAAAACTTTAGAAACATCTCTGGATAAAAGAATGAAGTGTCTGGCTGGCTCCTTTCTGCTGTTTTCCCAAGGCTGAACAGGAGCTTGAGTCCAGAACTGCTACAGCGGTAAAAATTGTGAGCCAGGGTGGGGAATTGTACTACAATATAGGACCTGGTTTTTCTTGAGTAAAATTGGTCTAAAATCATCTCACCTTGCACTTAAGTGTTATATGCACAGTAGAGGAGCTGGGAGCTGGTGATCCATATGGAGGTAAGTTAGTATCAGTCAGCTGATTGTTGTTGTCCTGGAGTTTCTGCGCGTGTTATAGAGCAAACTGCCCGGTAGAAGGAAGTTTTGGGGAATCCTCACTTTGTAGTTGATGGGAGCTGCTGCTTTCCCACAGAGACAGCAGCTCCTGGCTACTGCTGAGTTCCTAAAAATTATGTGATGGCTCTGCCTTGCACCACAGCAGGCTAGTGCCCATGGCGGCAGAGCAGCTTGCAGCTGCTGGTCACTTCTGATAATCGGCTGTGTCCCAGTTTTTGCACAAGCTGCTCTCCTGGGCCCGCAGCGGCAAGTGGGAACCAGTGCCTCATACAAAGGGACAAGATCTCACTTGTCAACTGACTGGAAATAACTTACCTCAGAGTCTGCAGTAATTTGGCAGGAACTGAGAGCTGCATGGTTTGGCTGAGAATTGCAAAGTGAGTCCAAGGCAAAGCAGACTTAGGAGAGAAAAACACTGGATGGGGTGATGGGCAGGAATCTTTACTTGTGCCAGGCTGCTGGGTCTGACTGCCCCCACTCTATACCCAAGTGCCCCAAGAGAGGAGGGAACAGAAGAAAGATCTCGTTACACAGACCTTTTCAGAGGGATGCTGGCAGAAAAAGTAGCTCTGGATTAGCTCCATTTGCTCTTAATGTAGTGAGTACCTAGCAAGAGCCAAACTTCTGCCTATCTTAATAATTTAAGGTTTGCAAAAGAGGAGTGGGGTGAAATTTTGACATCATGTATTACTGCTGTGTAAGTAATCCCCAAAAGCATTCTCAGTGTTCTTAGCTATACTTGCCACAGGACTTTGGAATAGTTACATTGTACTTTTGTAATAAAAACTGAAGCATAAAGTGTGTTCTGGTTTGTAAATTTTACATTTAAACATGATTTCGAAGCTTAAGAGAAGCTAACTTAATGAGAAGGATTTGTTTAGACAGTCATTTAATTCAAATGCAGTTGATGCAGATCTTATATGCGCCGTATGCTATTTTTGGTTTTAAAAGGTAGAAATACTTTGTGTAATGCGGTGATAAGCATGCCAGAGTCAATTGCTGGAGACATATGTATCAAAATAGAAAAGGCAAGTGGCAAATAGCTTAATTAAGCAAGTTACAGCCATAAGTACTTTAAAAAACAAAACAAAACAAAAAACAAAAAACCCAGTCTCAGTTCAGAGGTGACACGTAGAGGGATGTGAGCCTTGGGTAGATATCAGTTGTACAAAGGATATGAATGAATGGAAGCATCAAGGTGGTTTTACGAACAATTTGCACCTAATGTAATTTTCCTTCAAGATAACTTTCTTTGCTGTTTATGTTTTCATTGATTTTTGCCTTTTGCTGTATTTTTTAGAAAGATTCATTATCTATCACTTTTGATTTTTAAGGTATTCATATTCACAGTGCTTTTTTATTTCTGTAGCAGCATTTACTATATTTTGGACCCTTGATGGAAAACATGGAAAACATGAATCTGAGCAAAGAGCTGTAGAGCCTGCTTTATTGATTCTTGATTATTTGTGAAGAGTGTTGTATAATGTATCATACAGTAAGTTGATGTCTGTTTGTGTTGGCATGCCCTCTTTAGAGCTCCTCCACGAAATATTTTTTTAAGGAGCAGAATTCAGCAGTTGTCTTCTATGCACAAAATTACCATGTAATTACTGTGTAATCATATAGTAATTAGTACGTACTATTCATATATTACAGAATTACATGCCCTGCAGAATACATAGTAATTATATTTGTACTTAACATATAATTCTCTATACTGTGTTACAGAGTTCATAGTTAAGATTATAGTTACGTGTTAATGTAATGCAACATTCTATGTAAGTGTTACAACTGTATGAGAGTGATGTATTTTGGATACGCTTTTTCTTATGGATCTGGTGCTGTGGTAAACCAATATAAGAAATGCTTGGCTGTGGTAATTTATAGTCAGCTGTTGCATCTTTTCAGTTTTGTAGTTTATGATGATAAGCAAACAGTTGCAGTTTATTGTGCAGGAAACTGATATTAGGAAAGACTTAAGAGTATGAGTGTTAAATACACACATGCTAAATATACAAGCCCACTGAATGTAGTTAATGGCGTATTGCTAGAGTGAAAAACAAATCTAATGCATGTTACTTATGCTTTGGGTCATTTCTGGAGATATGTGAGATAGTAGCAGGTGTCATATCTGTATAATGCTAATAGTGTGCTAGCGTCCAGGTCCAGCCTTGGGCACTGAGTGTCCAAGCAACTGCAGTACCTCTGGGCACTGTGCTGGCCAAGCCACATCACCTTTCTCTGCCTTGAAAAAGGGAAAAAGTTGACGTCCTGATCTAGAAATGTGAGGCAAAGTGGTAGAAGAATGGAGAGGAGGGACGCTGAGTTATAGAAGGGCCTTGGACTGAGTTTTTGGAAAAAGGTGGAAGATTTAGATTAAAAGCTTTTCTTAGGAATAAGTTAGAGCTGTAGATCTTGTTTGAAATGTTTTTCCTCTGGCTTGCCCTTCTAGGAGGTTGCTGCAGGGTTTTAAATATTTGCGAAAGATGTTTCGTTCAGCTTGCGAATTCTGTAGCAATAGGAAGTTACTGTGTTTTCTTGGATCTGTGACATTGCCATTCCCAATATCCACAACAGCATTAAGATTATTTTTGATTGAATTTTGCACTCCTAACAGGAGTTGTTTTTGTTTTCAAGCAAATGTTGTTTATTGAATATCTGGGTAACGTATTATAAAACGAAATCTGTAATTATAGTCCTAGCTTTTATGTGGATATTTTTCCTGTCACTTGTAGTGTGTCACCTCTGTCTGTGTGTGTGTGTGTGTAAAAGAGAGAAATACTCCTTGTTTTCATATATTTCTTTAACAGTGACTTGTTAATTCTATGCCAGCTTCTTCAAAGCTTGTAAACCTCATGAAACTTCTAGGGTTCAGGTGATATCTGTAGACTTACAAGAGTATCTTGAACAAAGCATGGATTTTACAGGCCTTTTGGGTGGCATTAGCTCACAATTGTGGGGCTGCACCTGCTTACCTTTCCAGCTGTGTGGGCTGCTTTGTACCTCAAAAGCTGTAGTAATAGGCATATGGCTTTTATATTCTGCAGAGTACACAAATTAAATTTAAATGTTATGCTACTCGATGAAGACTCAGGATATCATTTTTACTGTGTAAGGAAAAATTAAGAAATCACGAAGTAACTGGTTTACAAAACCAGTTAGGAACTCGTCTTTTCATTGTGTGCTTGAGCAATCAGCCAAGTGTATCCCTTCCAACTTAACAGTGATTTTGACAGCTTTCTAGCAGGGCCAAGTCTTGCACAATATTCACCCTGCATGTCTTCTGCAAAGACAATAAAGTACAACCTGCTTAGTGTAATCAGCGTTCCTTTGCCAGCATTGTGATCTTAACGCATGCTTGTGCTCTTGCTCGCTTGTTAAACCCTTACCCAAAGAAACATAAGCACTGGTCACAGTTTCTGGCGCTGGAGGTTTTCGGTGTAACAAATATATACTCAGGATCTCATGAGCAGTGAAATAAGCACAAGCATCAAAGCACAGTATAAATGTGACACGTTTCTTACTGCTGTTGTGTTGTTTTTTCTAGTGGAGCCAGTACTTTCAAAGGGGAACAATTGCTTGGATGCAGCAAAAGCTTGTAACCTAAATGATACCTGCAAGAGGTTCAGATCTGCTTACATAACCCCCTGCACCAGCAGCACGTCTAATGAAATCTGTAACAAGCGGAAGTGTCATAAGGCCCTCCGGCTATTTTTTGACAAAGTTCCCCCAAAGCACAGCTACGGGATGCTCTTCTGCTCCTGTCGAGACGTAGCCTGTACAGAAAGGAGACGGCAGACTATTGTTCCTGTGTGTTCATATGAGGACAGGGAGAAACCAAACTGCCTGAATTTACAAGAGTCCTGCAAGAAGAATTACATCTGCAGGTAAGATAGCACATGGCAGGGGAATGACTAATGAGGTACCAGAAAGAACCTTTTGGTACTGCTGGAATTGCCAGGACCTGAGGGTCAGAGTATCCACTAGGGAGTAGGACAAGTTAGGGAAGAAAGCAAAGGCCTTTGACATCCTTAACAGAATAACAAAAGCCTGCATCTGGCTGTAGTGTGTGCTTTCTCCAAAACTGTCCACAGCTACTCACTCACTATGGAAGAATCTTTAAACTCCCAGGAAAGATACCAAAACAGAAATCCATTTCTTACAGATTTTTATTGGAAACCTTTTCCTATGTATCTCCATGAAATGATATCTCAGAATGTCGGGGCGGGTTTCTTCATGGAAAGGAAAGGAGTCCACATCTGTGGACCAGCTTCTGCTGTCGTAAGAGCTGTTTTAGGCTTGGGGTTGTTTTATTTCCCCTCCCCTGTCAAAAGTGCTAGGCTGATATAACTGGAGGGTCATTGATTCAGTGAGCTAATTCCCAGTCTTTTTCCTCCTCTGTGTATTCCGGAGGAGATAGGCTGCATAGAGCACAGCTTTCCAGAACAAACTGGGTCCTTTGCTTTTAACAAGTTCCCTACGAGTTGTCATACCATGCTTATTCAGTGGCATGCAGAACCCTCTCTGCCCTTAGGAAATGCTTTATTCCTACTTAACATGGTGTATGTTTATATAAGAATGCTCTTGCGCTAATGTCATATTAATGAAGTTGTACCCAAGAATCTTGCTCGTTTCTAATGTGTAAATTCATTGTGGATTATCACATTCTGTGAATTAGCAACGCAGGAAATAAAAACTATTTTCATATGTCAAGGATAGTTAAATGAGTTACGTTTGTACGTAGCTTGATAAGCAGTTACATACACATGCCTTGTAAAATATTTAGAGGTTTGAACATGAGGTCTCCTCTCCTGATCTTAGACTTTTAGCCATAGCCATTTGGATGTGCCTGTGTTGTTCACAGGTGGAAGGAGAGCAGCTCTACCTGCTGTGGTTTAGGGGAAGTCAGGAGCCAGTTTCATGCCGACACAAACTAGTGCAGCCTTAAATCAGTGGAGGGTTTTCATTCGAGCCCAGTGAGTTGCATTCAGCACCTTTACGGATAATGCTTTCACAGCTTATATAAGCTTATGTTCAGCTGGGTCTCAGAACGACAAGTTTTCCATTTCCATGTTGTGTCATTAGTCTTTTTGCTTGTATATGTTGTCTTCCCTATATGCATGGCCTAATAAGAAGCAGAACGACAGCATCTTTACCGTGTATTCTGCAAAACTGTCAAAGTGTTGCAGTGCCAATCAAATGGGGAAGAGGATTTTATAGGGAAAGTTCTTCCTAACATTCAGGAAGTACAGTGGTGTCAGGAATTCTTTAGTTAAATTAATGCCATTGCTTCTCTTTTGATTATATTTCCTTTTGGTCAGCTTTGATCTAACGTTACCTCACCAGCTAATTTTTTAATGTCATTTTATTTAATTAGACTTTATGAGTCTTGCACTGATGTTGTGTTTTTTCCCTTCCAAAGCTGCAGAGGCAAGCTTGGTAAAATGTCTGTTCCTGGTGCCCAAAGTTGCAACAGAACAGGCACTGGGGCAAAAATGGATTTCTTTATAGGTTCTTGCTATCGTTTCTTTTGTTCAAAATGCCATCTTAAATAGTTTGGACTCTGTCATGGCTTGGTGAGAGAGAGGCAAAGATATGATGTCCCTCTCGGTCAGGGAGAGGGACAGTAGTGGTACAATGGAAAAGGTGGGCAAACGCTTGTTGGAACAGGATTAGAGTGCAGCACATCTGTTCTACACCTGGAGATAAAATAAATGTAATGTGTGGTGAAGAGTCTTCTTATGTAGACGTTCATACCTCCTAGGTTGTCTAAACAGCTAGTGTATTTAGTACCTCTGTCTCTGCTGTCGTGGAGAGGAGAAATCAGCACCAGAGATACTCCAACCTATGCGCTCACAGGGAGTCAGCTGTGATTTGTTCCCCTTGGTCTACAGGAGAACAGGGACTTGAGGAGGGGAGGAAGGAAAGGGAGGAGGAGTATTAGCACTGATAAATGTCAGGCTGCATAGTAATTCCAGATATGTTTAGAATGATGAAAAGGAGTAGCCACTAGGCATATAATTCTGACTCTGATAACTCCAATTTCATTTTGAAATCAGAAAGAATATCTAAATGAGTGAATAATTTGGGAATATGTTCTGACTACTGTGAAATGCAGTCATTTAGAAATTATTATTTGCTTGCCTATTACTTCCGTTACAGCTTTTTCATAATGCTAGTTATGGGGTCAAGGGGGACAAAATCTAAAGGGTCTCTGAAAGCACTCTCGCATGAACGCTGCCTACTCAGAAAGCAAGGTTCAAATCTGCCCATACTCATGTATAAAATATCCCGTAGGCCTATGCAAATATGTATTTAAACATTCAGTTTTGGATGCTCTTTAAAAGCTTTGCCCTGGATGCACACATCACTGAATCTCTTTTTGAAACAGAGTTTAGAACAGGGAAGCAATTCAGCCAAACTGCAGGTACCACCAACTCATTGCTGAGACGGTAGGACACTTTGCTGACTTGTTTTTCTTTTTATTCATTCATTCAGCTGTTATATAACATAAACTCTTGATCGGGGGAAAAAGGGACCAGAAATGTCAAGAAATGCAGATAAGTTCTGACTTATATAAACAGTCCTAATTTTCAAACTTCCTCAGAATACTGAATGGTTCATTTTTGTTATCATTTTTCTGCTGCCTCTCCTTGTATCTCAATCTGTACCCAGTGGAACCTCTCCGGTATGCCTGTCAATGCCACCTGAAAAAAAAAAAAAAGCCAAAAAGAAGCAGTTAGACTTTTTTCTTATTATAAATACAAAATTTCTAAGGAAAGTCAGCGTACTGTCAAAAACTTTCACAAACTATGTCATCTTGGAATAGGTCAAATGTCTGAGGAACATCCTATTCTGATTGCTTCAGCCACCACTTAAACTTCACAAAGTTAACTGATGTGTTTTAAAAACACTGTTCTGCTCTAAATGCAGGACAATGTGCTTCAGTTTTTCCAGTGTCACATTTGAGAGTATTGCAGAAAAGATAAAATGGATGCATAATATATTAAAATAACTTTTTTGCCATGTGATGTCTGAAGGACAATAATGAAATAGCCTGTTAGGTTGCAGTGGAGGGGTCATTACGTTGAAAACGCAGTAAAGATAGTTTTGCTACTATGTATTTGGAGAACCAAATTTTTTATAAATTATTTCTGTTGGCACGTTCTTACAAACACTTTTAGATACTGCTGTCAACAGTATCTGGTCACCTATGCTATCAAGTCTTAATTTTGTTGCCACCACCCATTGAATTCTGTCTGAAAGATACCTGCATCTACAGGTATAAGAAAGTCGTGTGCAGATATGCAAACATTTCCATCAGTATGTAGAAGAATTCATGAACAGTAAAAGCTAGAACATGAGCTCAGCTGCTTGCTGTATTTTCTGAAAATGTGAGAAACTTGCTAAGAAATTAATTTTCCTTCTTTATATTCTGTTGGACATTTTTAGTGATAATCTGCCATGGAAAGGGAACCACTATCTCTGTGCCTTTTGATAAGACACAGAGGTTTTCTGTAAGGCATGTGCAAATCTGCAAGTGCTTTATACCAGTTCCTGTTTATAAAAGTGGCTTTTCTGTGTAAGACTTTTGGATTGTTCCTGTAATACATACCATTATTGATTGCAAACCGTACACCCTCATGGATAAGATTTCGGAGGAGCGGGCAGTTCAGTATTGTAGGCAAGTTTGTGATGAGACTTTTTAAATATGCTTTTGGCCTGCTCTAGAAGAGGGGGAGCCCAGCATTTCATGTTAGGAGGGAGCAGTCTTCAATTACAGTGTTAATAAGTAGCAGGGAGGAGTGCACCAAAGGTGGGGTGTGTGGGTGGGTGGG